CAGAATTACCTGGAGAGATTTTTAAAAATACAGCTTTTCACCTAGCCGGTTTGGCTCAGTGGTTGATTGTTGAGCTATGAACCAAGAAGTCCTGGGCACATGCGTGGGTATTGGACTCGATCCCTAGTAGGGGGCATGCAAGTGGCAGCCTATCAATGATTCTCCCTCATCACTGATGTTATCTCTCTCTCCCTCTCCCTTCCTCTCTGAAATAAATAAAAATATATTTAAAAAACAACAACACTAGCCTAGTAAAAAGTGATTTCACAGATACGATTGCTTAGGACAATGCTAGGGAAAGCATTTATAGAAAAATACCAAGAAAGTAACTGTAGTAGTAGACTGGTAGGACAAAAGGGCTCCGTCCGTCAACACCTACTGATCCAGGTGGTCCTAGGAGGCCCAGCGAAGGGACAGAGAACTGGCTGGGAAATATTTGCTGCGTGCTTCCTCTGTGCCAGGACCTGGGTGTAGCCCTCTTTATAAACTGGCTCCTGATACCCTCCCTCGAGCGTCCGAGGCAGGCACCGTCACCATCGCCATTGTACCGTCGAGGAAACAGCCTCAGTGAGGTGGAGAGCTGCGCCCGAGGTCACAGGGCACACTGAACTCCACTCCTCAGAGGCAGGGACCTCCTGGTTGCTATGGCATCCCCTAGAGCACTCACGTAGGCCTGCCTGGACCACATGCAGTGAGCCACCAGGATGGAACCCCAATAACTCACTGTCTTCAAAGCAAGCTCCCCATCGCTGGAGGTAGTCAAGGGAGACTAGATTCCATCCTCAAATAGGGCTCCTAGCAGATGACCTCCAAGGGCCGTACTGCGCCCTCCAGCCCCCCTGCTCCCCGGAGAAGGGACTCACCTGTGTAGTAGACATTTTCGTCCCAACCCCTCTTCCTCCAAGCAGCATTTCTAGTCTCTTCCCGAGACTGCAGGTCTTTGTAGGCTGTGGGAAAGGCAATGCCTCATTCCTTGAGCACACAGGGCTGGCTCTCCCCGCACTGCCCCGGGGGGTCGGGGGAGAGCCTACCCCAGAGATGGTGCACCACGTAGAGCTCTCCTATCTGTGAGAAGAAGCCGCCCACCGCCTCCTGGTTCTCTTGTCGGTACTTGATGGCCCGAGCCCTGCATGGCAGAAGAGTGTTGGGGAGACGCCAGGGCCCGGACAGAGGGCCCCCTGAGGTGTCTCCAGGCTGCTTTCTCTGCTCCACCTCAAGGGAGAAGCCCGAGGCCCCCAGCTCTCAGATGGTCGGGGAATGGGGTGACGGAAGTGAGCTGCGGGTTGGGTGATCCCAGGGGAGTCTCTAGAAGATGCTCACCTCCTGGTTGCATCCTCCCACGGGATCCCCGAGGGGCAGAGGTTGCAGGGTTCCCTGCCATTTGGCCCCGGGAAAGGTGGTACCCTAGGGGCCTTGGCAGGGCAGCTGGGCAGGGTCTCCCCAACCCGAGCCCCCGGCACGGCCACTCACCAGTTGTTGCCCCACTCGATCATGGTTCCTGGCTGAGAGAGAACCAGAAGAAAATCGAATGAGCCCTCACCTCGGATTCCAGAGTCACAGCTGGGTGAAGGCCGGAAACTGCCAAGTCTCCCCAACTCCAGGAGTCCCTTGGCCTCAATCAGGGGCCCAGGTGCATACACACCTCTGTTCTGAGCCCAGAGGGAGGGAGAGGCCAGAAACCCAGCCTCCGTGCTGGGGCACCGGCCTCGGGGCGCCTACAGCTGCACTCTAGCAGGGGGAGCGGGGCAGGCAGGGGTCGGGCGGGAGGAAGGCACCTTGAGCTTGTATGTCCTCAGCTCATAGATGTTGGATCCAGGAAGAGAGAAAGGATGTGTTTTGCTTTATTTTTTTCAGTAAGCTACACTGAGCATAAAAAAGTACAATAGTTAACTTCTGAATTTTTAGTTCCCTCCTCTTGAATACATACTTACACATCTATTAGTAGAGGATATTTCTTGGATTTATCAAAATGAGGAGGCAAGATCATCTGATACCAAAATTCTAAACAAACAGAAAGATTAATTAGTGAATTAAGAACAATGATTAGCACATGATTTTGGTTCCTTATCTGTTAGTAATAAGTCATATCTAGAGTTTAACAATGTGTTAAAATAGAATAGGAAAAAGAAGTGAACTACTTGCATTCAGAATGCTTTTAAGAAATAAAATTATTCTCTGTCAGGTTAATGGTGGGGCGAGAGGTCCGGGTCAGGGGGCCCCTGGGACCCAGCCCTGCTTCTCCCCCTGTTGGCTAAGCATGTATGTAGGGGGGTGGCCTCCAGCCTGGTTCTCGGTAGCACCAGGACCCTTTGCCTTGGGGGTGGGGGGGGAAATGCCTGGGTGGGCGGCAGTGGTGCTGGAGATGGGGGCACCTCACCTGCCTGGTCCTGCTCCCCATACCACGTGTTCCAGTTGCCCACGAGCGAGCAGGGGTAGTCCTCATCCAGGTGCAGCTTGGGCAGCACGGCCTCCCTGTGGGAGGGGCACAGAGATGGGGGCGGGGGGCTCACACCAGCCACATCGCACCCTGAGGTAAGGGTTTCCACTCAGGCCCTCGGGGCCGGGTATCAGCCTCCCCATCTCTCAGTTGCAGACGCCGGACAAGACAGCCTTAGGACTTCCGGCTCCGAAATGCACATCCTTGGACTTCTGTAAGGAGCATGGGGCTGGGATAGGTCCCCACCCACCCCGACAGGCACGGGAACAGGCGGATGGAGGAAGATGCTCACGTCAGGCTGTTGTAGGCATCCAGACACTCAGGCTTCACATTGTGAACTGCAAGAGAGGACAGAGTGGGAGGTGAAGTAGGGGGTGTGTGTGTGTGTCCGCGGGGAGCTTGGGTGTAGGGAGCCCCCACAGGGCCAGGGCGCCCGGGACAGCTCAGGATCTCCCAACCCAGGCCTGTGTGGAGGGGAGGGCTGGCGGGCAGGCTGGCGGGCGCAGCAGCCACTCACACTGGATTTTGTAGAGGCTGCTGGTCTCCTTCTTGGACAGGAGGGTGGAGTGGGCGTCCTTCCGGGGATCCACCTTATGCACGAAGAGTGAGCGGAACCAGCTGCCTTCATTGTCCTTGGAATAGAAGCTGCGGGACAAAGGAGTTCAGAAGGACAGGCGGCCACGGGGAGCCTCCGCCTTTCCACAGGCTCAGGTGCCCCGCTCCCCGGGGCTGGTGACCCACATTCTGGGAACAGGGCCACGGAATCCCATGGCAGCTCCAGGATGTGACATGGAGCCAGCTGAGCAGACCTGGTCCCTTCTGCAGGGTTCCTGGCACCCGGTTTGCTTCCTGAGTCTTTGCTGAGCCTCAAGAGGCCCAAGGAGGCAGCCCCACCTCCCATCTCTCTCTCCAGCCTCCCTGCCTCCACTTCACCCCCTTCCAAGGGGTTCTCCACGGGAGGGGCCCCACAACTGCAGTCCCTTTCCCGGAGGCAAACCAAACCCAAACCCACGTACTGCACAGCCACAGTCCTAACAGCCGAGCCTAGTGTGTCAGCCTCCCCCCAGGTATATACCCCTCTCCAGGGATGCTCATCCCTGAACTCACCAGGCTCTTGCACCCTGTGCTTCCTTTGTAAGCTCTGTCCCCTCTGATGAGAACGCTGCACTCACCCTCCTTCCCCGTGCTCACACTACACCCGGCCTGCGCCCCTTCCCAGCCCCCACAAATGGATGGCCAGAGACCACTAAGCTTTGTCCCCAGGAGGTCCCAGTTGCTGGAAGCAACCAGCCTTGGAACACAATGACAGCTGAAGTCTCTGCCAGAGCCAGGAGAGTGAGCCTGGACTTAGCCTCTGGTAATCTGGGTGGGCTCTCCAGAGGAGGTGATCTGGCCAGTCTCCAAATCTCCAGGGTAAAAAGCACAGCAAGGCAAGATTCATTCATCCAGCCAACACTTAATTGACAAAGATCTGCCTTATGTACCTCCTTAGGGTGCTGTGAGAATGAATGAATGAATGAATGAATGAACGAACGAACAAATGAATACTGTGCCTTGTTCAGAGTATAGGGACCTGTTACCAGGTCCTGCCAGACCATAACTGCCTTCCCCACACAGTCCCAGCAGCTTCTGGCCAGGCCTGAAAAGCAAGTCTCCCACTGCATGATTTCGGGCAGTGGAAACCCCGTCAGCAAGTCCTCCCCTATTTCGAGCCTTTTCTGTGGCTAGAATAAATGTCTTGTGAATTCAAAGCATTACATTTCCCCCCAAAAAAATATGGAGCAGCCACTGGGGCAGATGGAATTAAAAAAGCATCTTAAGCCCTGGCCGGGTGGCTCGGAGGGGGTTTCGCTATGGATCACATTCCCTGAGGACGTCGGCTGTGCCAGGGGTCTGCGGCCGGCTTTTCAGTAGCTTGATCTGGCGGAAGCTGTGGAATGATGTCACAGTGTTGATATTCTTGGTGTCCCCGTTTTCCACACGGGAAAATAGAAGGTCAGGGAGTCGAAGGGGTGGTGGCAGGGAGAAGAGCAACTCCTCCAGTTTGTCAACCAAGACCTTTGCTCCAAAACTCATGGGCTCCAAGTCATTCATTAACACCAGCACTGACCAAGATAAACAGCCACGCGGCCAGCCCTGGAGAAGAGCCTGGGGAGTGGACGGCGGGTCCAGGAGCTCTCGTGGGCTCCCAGGTCTTCCCAGCACCCTCCCATCGCTCCTGCCTGCGGGCTCCCGTTTCCCTATGTGTCAGAGGAGCGCAGATCTCTCCCACAGGAAAACCCAGCAAGGGGCCTGGCCAGGACGCGAGGGCAACGTCTGACCCGGAACCCAGCATTCTCAGGCTCACATCTCCAAGTTCATTTTCTCAGCGAAATCACAACATTCTCTTGCCCTTGAACTCCTCTTTGACCTCTCTCACCTTTCTGTTTTTCTGAAGCTCCTTCTTACACATACCTTTTTAAAAATCTATATACCTCTATATATTTTATTAATTTCCGAGAGTAAGGGAGAGGAGGAGAGAGATAGAAACATCAATGATGAGAGAGCATTATTGATGGGCTGCCTTGCTGGAAGCTGGTCCACCCTTGCTGCTTGACACAGTCGCTGCAGGGAAGGAACATCTGCACAGCATATGTTTCAAGGGACCTGGCGCATATAGCATACTGTTCTTAATATGTTTGCTCCCCTTAGTGCTGTGTGTTTAAACCAAGGTCACCTCTCTGAGAAAGGTTGTTTCCCCAGGTAGGGATTTTTCCCTGAAGTCAGGGAGGGGATAAAACTCCTTAACTAAGTGCCAGGCGGGTAGTTAATCACTTTAACCACAAACA